TCCCTCCCCCCTCACTTCCCAGTGCCAATCACAGGGTTAACAATAACATAATCATACTCTAATTAACATTAATCAACTATTAAAATAACATATCTATAACCTCCTTTAACTATCTTTTAAACAGTACAATTATTAAAAACAATAATAACACTTTAATAATTAAAAATAATACTAAATAAAATATTCTAACCTTTATACAACCATAATACTCCAAAATTTACTCAAAAACCAAATGATATTTATAGTCCCATATTTACACTCAATATAATCTATCCATCTTCTGCCCAAATAGGAATTTTATAATTTAATTTATAATAATATTTCTTCCAAACTCTCAATAGAGCACTCCTTAAAATATGAACCTTGAAATTAGTATCTACCTTTTTATCATAAATTAAATATGCCTGCCAACCAAATAACAAATCCCATCCTTCAAGAGAAAGTATATTCTTATTTGTTAAATTTAACTAATCACTAATCCATGTCAGAACCATCGCATCATAATACAGTTTTAAATTAGGGGCTTTAAGTCCTCCTCGTTCCCTTATATCTTGCATAATCTTAAACTTAACTCTTGGCTTCTTGCTGCCCAGAGTTCGGTTGTAAGACGGGTTGTTACCTAAATGAAACAACGCAAAACGAAACTACATTTTAAAACTAATGACTGGGATGCCTCAAGCGATCGCCCGATATTTTTTGTTCTTTTGCTTATAACAGCCAACATCTCGTGATGACTGTAGTTTCATTTCTGGTTTCATTTCATGAGACTTAACACAGAGCCATCTGCGGAGAAGGGTCAAAAAAGTCAAGATGGCCGCTAATTTTTACACTAAATCCTAAGAGCCACCTGAACGGTGAGAAAAGCGGCAAATAAATTTGATAAATAAAACAAAGATGGCCTGTCTGGACCTTTGTCTTAAGTCAGAGTTTCCCAACTTTGGCAACTTTAAGATGCATGAGCTTCAATTCCTGAATTCCGCATCTAGCATGTGTGAACGTCAACTCCCAGAATTCCCCAACCAGTTTGGGTGGACTTCAACTCCCAGAATCCCCTAGCCACCATGGGTGGACTTCAAGTCCCAGAATTCCCCAGCCAGCATGGGTGGACTTCAACTCCCAGAATTCCCGAGCCAGTATAAGTGGACTTTAACTCCCAGAATTCCTCAGCCAGCGTGAGTGGATTTCAACTCCCAGAATTCCCCAGCCAGCGTGAGTGGACTTCAACTCCCAGAATTCCTCAGCCAGCGTGGGTGGACTTCAACTCCCAGAATTCCCAAGCCAGCATGCTGGCTGAGGAATTCTGGGAGATGAAGTCCACCCATCTTCAAGCTGAGAAATCCTGCCTTAGGCTATCCCACTTGGGGGACCACAATGACCAACTTGGAAATATATTCAAAAATGCCCCCTCCCAGCCTGGATGCAGTGACCAAGGAGGGGCAAGACCTGGCTTGGCTACTGCAGAAGAGAAAGGCGTTCTCGACAACCACAAACTGGCCACAGCAGAAAGCTGCCATCCCCCTCCCAGTACAAGGCAGAAATCAAGTTTCCCAAGCGGTGGGAAAAAATTGTTCTTGACTTCACAAATTGAAACTGCAAGTTGCGCCATGCAGGTTGTCTCCCCAATGGGCTGGGGCCAGAAGGGGGGTGCAGCTCCTCTCCTCCCCTCCTGCTTCCCCCTCCTTCTCCTCCCCTTCCCCTCTCCCCCTTCTCCTTCACTTCACATGTCCATCTCCTTCTAGCACTGATGATGTTCCCTAGTTGGGTAGTGAAATGTCTGCAAGAAAACAACAAAGTTCAGAGAGCACCAAGGATCTCACAGTCGTCCCCCCCCCTCCTCCTCCTCCTGCCTGCAAACCCCACTCCCTTCCATCATTGATGATATTACCTATTTGGGTCATGAAATGCCTGTAAGAAAAGTACCAATCGCAGAGACTCCGTCATTTCTCGGGCTGTGGATTGAGCCCAATCACCTGCTAATCAAATGGTGTGTATTTTGCCTTCGTTACCCTAACCCTAACCCTAACCCTCCTCCTCCTCCTCTCCATAAACACCCCTCCTTTCTAGCAATGATGATGTTCCCTAGCTGGGTCATGAAACGTCTGCAAGAAAGCAATGAAGCTCAGAGAGCACCAAGGATCCCACAGTTGTTGTTGTTGTTGTTGTTGTTGTTGTTGTTGTTGTTGTTGTTGTTCTTCTTCTTCTTCTTCTTCTTCTTCTTCTTCTTCTTCTTCTTCTTCTTCTTCTTCTTCTTCTTCTTCTTCTTCTTCCCTCCTCCTCCTCCTCCTCCTCCTCCTCCTCCCTTCTAGCACTGATGACGTTCCCTAGTTGGGTCATGA